TCCACGACCGAAGCCGAATACATTGCCGCAAGTGAGGCTGCCAAAGAAGCCGTGTGGATGAAGAAGTTCGTTCACAAGTTGGGACCAGTTCCGTCTAGCACATCATCTATCCCGTTGTTGTGTGACAACAATGGAGCCATTGCTCAGGCTAAGGAGCCACGAGCCCACTCGAAGTCAAAGCACATCGAGAGGAAGTACTACGTACTGCAAAAGATTGTTGGTAGAGGGGACGTCCTGATTCAGAAGGTAGCGTCAGCGGAAAGTGTAGCAGACCCATTGATGAAACCACTATCACAAAAAGTGTTTGAGAAACACGTGGAAAGCATGGGACTCCGGCTTATACCAGATTGGACCTAAGTGCAAGTGGGAGATGTTAGACAGTTTTTGTATGCCCTTAGCTTCAATCAGAATGATGTACATTAAGAGTTTATTGTAAATAAATAAGGTACATATTTGATTCATGTTCTTGTGGTGTGTTTCTGTGTAATACCCTTAAACTGGATACTTAATGAGACTCGTATTAGTTTAGAATGTTCAGAGCCACTAGGTCGGTCTAGGGAGACCTATCCTGATAAGGCTGACCCTGATGTGCCACCAAGTCAGTTGGGGTGGCCTGTCTCAGCCGCCAGGGTGAGACCCAAGGCACATGCAGCGTAGGATTAATTGAATCATTAAACCGGACCAGATTTCCAGTATTGCCCTGGACCTTGGGCTGTCTTTGATGTACCAATCAGTAAGATCCTTAGCATGGGTCAAAACCTGGGTATGTTGGGACAGTCTGAGAATTCATCTGAGTGGGTGATCATAGTGACAAGATCAGCCCCTTTGTCGGACAAAGGCAATGATCGGGATGCACTCTCTTTGATGGAAATCAGGACTGCCAGCAGCCGATTTCAATCGTTGAGATTTGTTAGCAAAATATATTTTATATGAGATATAAAAGTATATATATCATGGTTTCCAAAATGTTTGAAAAGGTTTTAATCCCAGGATGCATATAAGAAGAGAGTGCAACACTATTCCTTGTAGCCGAGGGAGAGGTCCTCTCTTGTCGGGCAGTGTTTGATCATTATGGGCTGAGAGGTTAAGTGTAAGAACATTGAGGGTAATACCTGATGGGCTAATTTTGCATCTGTCCACAGTCCCTGGGTGTTACAAGGTGGCTTGGCCCAGGGATCACTTAGGGTAAGTGTTGGGCCCATAGAGCCCATGTGATGGGTTTCAGGGGGAGCATTGTCCATAACAGTGTATTCGGCTAGGCCTTATAACAAAAGCTGGGCTGAACCCATGTGGCTGATGTGTAGATCAATGTTTGGGTCCCACRCCATACAAGGAAGCCCAACTGGGCAGCAGTTAGGAAGGCTAAGTGAGCACATAACCTTAATGGGCCTAAAGCCCATTTCGAACTAGGCTAATTTAAGTAGTTAAATAAGGGGCGAATTCTGGGAATGGATTAGCAGACAGGACAGGGTCTTAACCCTCCTTTAAGGTTACAAAAGAAGGAGGGGGTGACAGCCTTTAGAAGACACATATTCACATCCTCTTCAGAGCTGAAATCACAGAAGGAATAATTAAGCAACCCTGCGAAATTCTTTCTTGCCGCCTCCTTCCTGTTGCCGCCTCACCTGCCAGTTCAATCTCTAGTTCTGTGGGAGAAATCAAGATTCCATCTTGACATCAGTTCCTTGTGAAGAGATTGATAGGAAGTTGTGCTCACGTGCCATCCTGCTAATTCTTGCGAAGGATTAGGTTTTTGGAGAGAACACTGCTGATTCTGCTCCATCCTGCACTGCGCCATATTCAGTGGGAGCAGTGTTTGGATCCTTCCTTGGGCGTGATTACCTTCGTTGGGAGATATTATTTCTCTGTATCAGGTATAATCCTCTTCTATTGCTTTTATTCAGATCTGATCCAGTTTATGGTTCAAGATTGATCATTGAAAATATGATTTTCTAAAATAGGGAATGCGATTCCCAGTTGAAGGGAGAGAAATTTTTTGAAATTCGCCCACGTTATTCCGCAAGTTTTGGAAGTCCATACGATGGATCTCTCATCCCTTCACGGCCAAGGATCAATGGGTTCCAAGGAAAGCCGAGACCGTGGACCAGTTGAGGCTGAGGTGTGCAAAGGTCGAGGAGTAGTGGGATCCAAGAAGAGCGGAGGCCGAGGTCCAGGACCTACGAAGAAAGGGGATGTCAGTGTCCTCGGGTGGGGACCCGAGGCAGGGACTCCGACGGTCAAGTTAGTAGGGTGGAGCAAAGAGGGCGGACGAGGTCAGTGGGGTTCAGACGAGATCACCTGGGAGTTGGAGAGCTAGAAATGGGAATGCAAGTTCTGGATCCCCTACCTTGGGGAATGTCGCCCTATTTATACTTCAGGTCACCTGATGGCAGGCACTGTGGATGGTCAGGATGCTATCTTAGCCCTAGGCTGGCGGACATCCGAGAACCGCCATGTGTGGTCATGCCATTGATACCACGCTGGACGCTGACCTCTGCCCTGTACGACGCACTGACCAGCTCTGAGCTCGGTCACTTGTCAATGCGCCAAAGGCCTGCCTAAAGCGCGTACATCAATTTGTATTACACATAAATAAAATAAGGTAAATTTAAAATAAAAATAATTCATAATTTTACACAGAAATCATTTGCACTACCATCATTTTGAATCAATGCAAATAAATTCGCATTGTAACCCAACACATGCAGCATTAGGAGAAAATACAATCACAGGTGGAAAGAAACCGACGGGAAATGGTAGGAGATGCAGAAGAATGGTGAAGCAGAAGCGTGTTGAACGACGACGGCAGGAAAAGGTGTTCAATACTGCTTTATTGATTCTGGAATGTTGCTTGAGTGTTATTGGTGTGTTTCTCTGATTCTCCCAACCTTTATATCAGTATTTCACTATTTATATATGAGAGATATCGATCCACAGGTATCGTGTAAATGGTAGCTTTGGATATTTGATCATCTTCTTACACACAGCCTTCCTTTTACGGTACTTTAGCTTTATCCTGATCTGTACACACCGGCTTCAGAGGATTGAAGATGACCGAAGAATTAATTGGATACTTTACGCAATAAGGAATATATGTTTTAAAGAGATCGAGACCAGCAGCCGACGAAGCTGAACCAACAGAACACGGTTGAAAATTGAAAATCATGCATCGACATCTGAAGACGACGTGGACTTCGAGTCTGGTCGTAGTTTGAGGAAGCCCGGTGGAAGATTCTGATTACTGATCAGCCATGGCAAGAGCGAGGGGGGCCTTTTTAGGTGTCATTGTATTGCTGTGTGGTTCCATCACAACGATAAAACCGACTAAACCGGCCCAACCCAATCTGAATCGGTCAGTTCTTCAAAATCATCGATCAATTTCGGTTTGTATGAGAAAATAAATCAAACTGATCCAATTTTATATGTTTAAGTAATTATTAATTAATCCCTACCTTATATGTTAAATGTTGATATATATATTTTATTTGTATTTTGTTTGAAATTTGAAAAAAGAACATCGGTTATTTATGATAAAACTAAAAACGTAAAACCAATTCAAATATAATACAATGGTACAATATTTAATTCAGTTTTGTATAAATTTAAATATATATTGACAAAAAAATCAGTTTTGCATAAAAAACTAATCGATTTAAATATATATTTCGATTTTTTATTAAAACTAAAAGGAAATAAACTTAAATATAAATAGATACTTTAGTTTAAAATATATAGAAAATTTGACTAAACCGATATTTTAGATTAAAATAGATATTTTAATTGAAAATATAAATAGATTTTGTAATATAAATATAAATATATATATATATATATATATATATATATATATATATATTACAATATAGTCGGGACAAGGTGGACAAATTCAATCCCCAACCCCAAATTTTCAGGTTTTCCCCGAACCCGCCCAGAACCCTGATCATTGGTCAAAATGCTCACCCCGATTGGGACAGGATGGGGCCCCATGGGGACGGGTGAAACTGCCATCTCTTTTTACACCTAAATCATTTGCACTACCATAGTTTTGCATCAATATCAATTTTTTTGCACAGCATCCAAACACAACTTTAGGCTTAGTTTGGAAAGAATACAAATACAAATATATAGTTTAAATACATAAAAAATAATATAAAATATTAGGTTTTGCACTCTACATATTTGTATTTGTATTACTTCCAAACAAAGCCTTAGAGACCATAAAACCCTGGCATTACAGAGTCTATATATAGGGTCTATATATGATTCAATATTTCTGTTTCTTGATATTTCTTAATGGATCGGTTTCCATTCTACTCTTTCCCAATTCAGACCCAACCCATTAACACTCCAACATGTAAATCAAGGTGGGGTCATACCAACACATTGAACTCTTTAATTTTGTGTTGTCACTGCAATGCTAAAAATCATATATCCTAGCAAAAGTAATAAGCCCCTTAGGCTTATATATATTTATACTTTATATATTTGTATTTGTATGCTTTCCAAATTTAATTTAAAAATAATATAAATATACAGTATAAATACATACAAAATAATATAAAAAATAAGGCTCCACATATTTATATTTGTACTCATTCCAAACTGAGTTTTAGAAGAAAATTCAGATCTAGTGACCACAAAATATTGGCAACATCTTGTGCAGCACAAGAAATATAGCCGCAAACGGAAACGTCTTGGAAGGAATAAGAATTAATGTATACAGCCTGTTATCAGTAAGTTCAAGTTGGACAAAGACAGCCAAGGTTTCACCCCGTCATCTGCGTCCCTCTCACACTTTCAACCAAAGCAAAAGTGGATTCTTCGTGCTGTTTTCCCTTTTCTAGTTTTTTCCTGTAAACATGATATGTATCTAATTCTAATATTCTCCATTCAATACAAAGTACAAACCATTTGCTGCGAACGCGGTTTTAAATGCTTTATATTAATTTTTTTGTTTTTTGAGAAATTTAGTGCGTTATATAAAGTCCAGAACCCCAAGCATTTCTTCATAAACAACCATACAGTTTCCTTGCTCTGTATTTTTGCAGTTCTTATTGTTCCGATATTATCATTCAATTATTCACAAGACAAGAAGCTTAGAAGCGGGGAGAGAAGATGCAATTTTCTCTACAAATGGGACATGTGAACTCTTGCTCCTCCGAGAAGTACTGGAATCAATATGTGAAAGGCTCCCAGAAACCGGTAAGCTAACCAACTTCAATTCTCTACTGATTTCTAGCTTTCTTTCAAGTTTACTTTGTTGCGCTTTTCTGCAGCAGTTTGATTTCATTTATATATACTCAGCAGCTAGCCCCTTAAATTCTCTGCGTTTCCATCAATGGAGAGGCAACATCGTCATTGGTGAGATGGTGAGTGGGAAAAAATGAACCAGATATTGGCTTAATCCAACCCAAACCAATATAGATTTGTTACAAATGGACCAGGTCCAATCCAATCTAATAAACATTTTGGACTGGATTAGTCCAATCTAATATGTTCTATTGGTCCATCCAATCCGTCCAAATTGATTTTGGACTAGATGGGGCCCAATCCAAAACCAGACCATTGACACCCTTACTAAGAACATGACACCAGAATAGGGAGGAAAACAAACAGATATATCCCCCCCTTTTGATTAGTTTTTTATTTTTATTTTTTTTAAAGCCCAAAAGGAATATGCCATTTCATTCATTGTATTGTCTTTGATTATGTTGGGTTAATATGCTTATACCCTTTGGCCGTGTTTGGTTTGATAGAAAATAAGAGATTAAAAGAAAGTTGAGGGAATGCTCTTTAATTCCCATCAGTTTGTTTGCAGTGTAAATTTCTTTTGCATTGGTGTAAATGCATGGGAGTGCAAATAGATGAGATTGGGATCAGTACCAGGGTGCCCAACTAAAGTAAAGCAAAATCCAACTTTTAGGCCCAGGCCCATTCCAAGTATGGGGTTGGACCAAACTAGACTCAGATTGGGCCCACCTGTTACAGCCCTTTCTTTTCTTTTTGCCTTTACCAGGTGAAAGTGGGTTCCATTGGTTATCTCATGAGCTTATAAACTAATGATCTACATGGCTGTTTCTAAATTTTTCATTGTGTGTCAGGTGTTGGTTTACTTCTACCTCTCGTACAGTGGGCGCTCAGAACAATTCTACACGGATGTGGCCGATCTTGCAAGGAAACACCCTAATGTGAATTTCTTCAAGGTGGATGTTGAGTTATTGAAGGTCTGATACAAGTCCAAATCTCTATTCTCCTCATCCATCTTCATTTATTTTCTTCTTTTTACATGAATAAATAAATATAACTCCAATTCGGCCTGTATTTATGTTATTAATTATGAAAACCTTGGAATTGCAGTCTATTGCTAAAGCGTATGATGTGAACGGTACTGCTTGCGTGTTGCTGATGCCAAATGAAAACAAGGAGCTAGTGGTACGAGGAAAATTTTCCAAAATGGATAAAGAGGAGTTGGAGAAGTTTCTAAAGAGCCATCTGTAATGTGATCAAATCTCATCCCACGGCGGGGATGTGTTGTGGGGGGCTGATTTGAATTCATCTGTAATGATAGTCATTGGTGTATTTTTGTAAGAGAGAAAAAGAAAAAAGAGAAGAGAAAAAGAGAGAGAGAAAGAGAGAGAGACTTCACATAGTATTTATATCATTATAATAAGTGGGTATTGCAGGCCTAACAAATATATTTAGTACTATTGTTGAATGGTGCTCACCTCTGTATTGATTTCAACCTTGTTATTAAAATGATATCTATTAAATGAAAATTTATATATATATGCTAGAAAACATGTACGTCCATTTACATGTGACAGTATCTCCAAGACAACACTATTTACAATTCATGGGCAGTCTTTGAACAGTTATAAGTGAGCAGTTTCTTAATTGCTTTAAGTGGACAATTTTTGGAGTGATAGTAAAAGACATATATGGTCTTTTTTATATCTGTTGTATGTTGATTAGATAATGGGTAAAAATGTCTAATGAAAAGTCTAGAAAATGAGGCTATTCTCACCCAAGTAGACCTGCTCATGGGCCGGGCTTTCACTCTGTATTAACAAATTTTTCTAAGGTCCAAGCCCGAGCCCGGCCCGACCATCGGGCCTACAACTTGGGCCCGAGCCCAGACCTCATAAAAAGCCCGAAGCCTGGGCCTAGGCTCGAACTCAAAATTTAGCCCATGCTGTTATTATTGCTGAAGCGGCTGAATAGACATAGAGAGACAAAGAGAGAGATAGAAATTATAAAGAAAAAAAATGTATATATTAAATTATAAATATATATTTTAATAAATATTATATTATTTATATATTTTATATAATATATAAAATACATATTATGTATTTTATAAAATATATAATATTGAGTCAGGCTAGGCTGGGCTCGAGCCGGGCTTTTTTGACAAATCCCGAGCTCGGCCTGAAACACAATCGGGCTTACTGTGTTAGGCCCAAGGTCAGGCCCATGGGCCTAATTACATGACCAAGCCCGATCAGGGTGCGGGCCGGGCCATCGGGCTACCCGGCCCATGAACAGGTCTACACCCAAGTTAAACCCCCAATTCATGGAAAAACTTTAACTAATTTGGTAGCCTGCTATGAATGACATCTACTCATGAGTGGATAAAAAGGTATTTACACTCAACATTTACTTAATTGGAAAGACAATTATGGACTTAAAATAACTAAAGTGTTAAGTGCAAGGCTCCCAAAACAGCCCAAGCTGTTTTTTTCCAAACAGCCAAAGTGATATCCCAACTCATGGTTCATGTGGCACAAAAAGAGGAATAAGCCTTACAAGATGACATGCATGCAGTTGGGTTACCTAGCTAGCTAACTAACTAGTAAGGGAGATAATTAGCTAGCTTAAAAAAACTTGCAAGTACGGGTGCTCTTAGTTCAGTTAATTTCTAACTTTCTCTCAAGTTTACTTTGTTGCGCTTTTCTGCAGCAGTTTGATTTCATTTATATACTCAGCAGCTAGCCCCTTAAATTCTCTGCGTTTCCATCAATGGAGAGGCAACATCGTCATTGGTGAGATGGTGAGTGGGAAAAAATGGACCAGATATTGGCTTAATCCAACCCAAACCAATATAGATTTGTTACAAATGGAACAGGTCCAATCCAATCTAATAAACATTTCGGACTGGATTAGTCCAATCTAATATGTCCTATTGGTCCATCCAATCCGTCCAAATTGATTTTGGACTAGACGAGGCCCAATCCAAAACCAGACTATTGACACCCTTACTAAGAACATGACACCCAGTTGTACATAGAGAATAGGGAGGAAAACAAACAGATATATCCCCTTTTGATTAGTTTTTTATTTTTGTTTTTTTTAAAGAACAAAAGGAATATGCCATTTCATTCATTGTATTGTCTTTGATTATGTTGGGTTAATATGCTTATACCCTTTGGCCGTGTTTGGTTTGATAGAAAATAAGAGATTAAAAGAAAGTTGAGGGAATGCTCTTTAAGTCTCATCAGTTTGTTTGCAGTGTAAATTTCTTTTGCATTGGTGTAAATGCATGGGAGTGCAAATAGATGAGGTTGGGATCAGTATCAGGGTGCCCAACTAAAGTAAAGCAAAATCCAAATTTTAGGCCCAGGCCCATTCCAAGTATGGAGTTGGACCAAACTAGACTCAGATTGGGCCCACCTGAGTTACAGCCCTTTCTTTTCTTTTTGCCTTTACCAGGTGAAAATGGGTTCCATTGGTTATCTCATGGGCTCATAAACTAATGATCTACATGGCTGATCTTGCAAGGAAACACCCTAATGTGAACTTCTTCAAGGTGGATGTTGAGTTATTGCAGGTCTGATACAAGTCCGAATCTCTATTCTCCTCATTCATCTTCATTTATTTTCTTCTTTTAACATGAATAAATAAATATAACTCCAATTCGGCCTGTATTTATGTTATTAATTATGAAAACCGTGGAATTGCAGTCTATTGCTAAAGCGTATGATGTGAAAGGTACTGCTTTCGTGTTGCTGATACCAAATGAAAATAAGGGTCTAGTGGTAAGAGGAAAATTTTCCAAGATGGATGAAGAGGAGTTGGAGAAGTTTCTAAAAAGCTATCTGTAATGTCATCAAATCAGCCTCCCACAAGATTGCCCCCCACAACGTCTCACAGCACATCCCTGCTGTGTATTGCAAACATCTCCACATGATGACATTATCATTTTTAGTATTATCACCAGGAGATGTTCCCAATCCACGGCGGGGATGTGTTGTAGAATGTGGGGAGCTGATTTGAAGTCATCTGTAATGATAGTCCTTCTTTCTTTTTGTAAGAGAGAAAAAGAAGAGAAGAGAAGAAGAGAGAGAGGGAGAGAAAGAGGCTTAACATGGTGTTTATATCATTATAATAAGTGGGTATTGCAGACCCAACAAATATATTTAGTACTATTGTTAAATGCTGCTGACCTTTGTATTGATTTCAACCTTGTTATTAAAATAATATCTATTAAATGATAATTTATATATATATATACTAGTATACATGTACGTGCATTTACATGTAACAGTATCTCTAAGACAAGACTATTTATTATTCATGGGCAGTTTTTGAAGTTATAAGTGAGTAATTTCTTAATTGTTTTAAGTGGGCAATTTTTGGAGTGAGGGTAAAGGACATATATGGCCTTTTTTATGCCTATTGTATGTTGCTTAACTAAGGGATAAAAATGTCTAATGAAAATTCCAGAATATGAGGCTATTCGCTCTTTTACTAGTAGTAGTAGTAATAGTAGTAGTAGTAGTAGTAGTATAAATATATATATATATATATATATGGGGGATGGCAAGAATTTTCTTCAAGGGTGAAAATTGTGTTCTTGATTTGAAGAATTTATACAACATTAGCCCTTTGATCTCACCCAAGTTAAACCCCGAATTCATGGAAAAACTTTGGCTGTTTTGAAGAAACAGCCCAGCTGTTTTGGTAGCCTGTTTTGGTAGCCTGCTGTGAATGACATCTAATCATGAGTGTGAGTAAAAAGGTATTTATACTCAACATTTTCTTAATTGAAAAGACAATTGTGGACCTAAAATAACTAAGGTGTTATATGCAAGGCTCCCAAAATAGCCCAAGCTGTTTTTTCCAAACAGCCCAAGTGATATCCCAATTCATGGTTCCATGTGGCACGAAAAGAGGAATAAGCCTTACAAGATGACATGCATGCATTTGGGTTAGCTAGCTAGCTAGCTAACTAGCAAGGGAAATAATTAGCTGGCTCGAAAGAACTTGCAAGTAAGGGTACTCACAGTTCAGTTAATCAAACCATGCACCTTTTTCCTAAACTAAACTGGTACCACCAGTTTTTTATATTTATAGTATATGACACATATAATATTATATATATATATATATATATATATATATATATATATATATCAGTTGATTTGGTTAATCCCTGGTTTTTTGTATTGGTTAACTGAAACAGGATTGACTGGTTTGATTAACCAAAACTTTTGGTTCAATTTCATTGATTTGTTTTGGTTTTTCAGTTTTCCAATTTTGAAAGAGATTCCGCATCAGGCACATCTTTTTTGGTTTGTCTGTTTCCTTTAGGCTATTTTGGTTTGAAACAAAAGGTAGGGAATGGAAGGGAAAGGTACACAAGGCTTGTATAAGTTTCCTATCTTTTCTTTCAAGTTTCAAATAAAACATAACCTTAGAGAAATGGGTATATATGGGATGGTTTTGTTCAATATCTAAATTGAGAAAATTAATAACTCAAACATGCAACTAAAACAAAAACAAATGATATGTATATGATCCAAGTAGACAAATCAAATAACATGATAAACCACAAAAGATGGATAGATTTTTTGACATTTATGGTAAATGAATAAAGTACATAATTGATTCATATCATTGTAGTGTGTTTCTATGTAATACCCTTAAATTGGACACATAATGAAACTCATGTTAGTTTAGAATCTTCATTGCCGTTGGATAGATCTGGGGAGATTTATCCTACCAAGGCTGACACTGATGTACCGCCAAGTTGGTTGGGGTGGCTTATCTCAGCTGCCAGGGTGAGACCTCAAGTACATGCAGTGTGGGTTTTCTTGAAACCCTGAAATGGACCAAAATTCCAGTATTGCCCTAGACCTTAGAGATAAATGAGCAAAACTGGAATGTTACACCTGACCCCTAGATTTGATTATGGTACTGTATTAGGTGTCGGATTAGGTTGTCTTTAATATACCAATAGTGAGATCCTTAGATGGGATCAAAACCTATGTATGTTGGGACAGTCTGAGAATTCATCTGAGTGGGTGATCATAGTGATAGGATCAACCCCTTTGTCAAACAAAGTGAATGATCAGGGGTGCACTCTCTCTGATGGAAACCTAAACTGTTGGCAGTTGATTTCAACCATTGAAATTTGTTTTGCAGCATATATTTATATAAAGATATACATACATACATATATATATATATATATATATAATATTATGGTTTCAAAATGTTTGCAAAAGGTTTTAATTCTTAAGATCCATGTGAGTAGAGAGTGCAGTAGTGTACCTTGCAGCCAAGGGAGAGGTCCTCTCTTGTTAGTTAGTGTTTGATCATTATGGGATGAGATGTTAAGTGTAAGACCATTGAGGGTAGTACCTAAAGGGCTAATCTTACATCTACCCACAGTCCTTGGATTTTCATAAGGTGGCTGGACGCAAGGACCATTTAGTGTAAATGTTGGGCCCATTAAGAGCCCATGGTGATGGATTTAGGGGTTCACTGTCTCCTACAGT